TCCCCCCTTTCGGAGCCGCTCTCCGCTGCAGTCACAGATTAGCTGGAGTCTTAGGGCGGCGCGGTGCGCTACCCGCAACGTGTCTCACTGCAGGGGGCGCTGGTGTGTGTGTGGGGGGGGTCATTTTAGCCCCCCCGGAAAGAAATGCACCAGCGCGCCTGTGACACCAGATCCCGGGAGCGCTGGGTCCGCAAAGCGGCCGCCCCCTCCCGGGAAAGTCCTGCCCGTTGCAGCTCCAATCCGCGGCAGGGGAGAGGGGACCTCCGCGCCTGCCCCTCTCCGCGCCGCGGGCTCCCCTGACTCAGCCTCCAGGCTCAGCCCCCCCTGCCCTGCAAGGCTGTGGCTGTCAATCAGGCAGAGGGGGTGGGGCCAGCAGATGGGGCTCCACCCCTCCCTGCCCTCCCCGGTAGCAGCAGGTTTGAAGCACAGTTCCATTGAGCAACTTTTTTTCCCCCTCCCCAGCTATGGAGGTGGGGGCTGCCGGCAGGCTGCGGCCGCTGCCCAGGAGTTGGGCTGCTCCTGTGGGCTGCTGAGTGGCTCGTGTCCATGGACTCCTCCGGGGGAAGGATTTGTTAACAGGAAAAAGAAAAGGGGGGGAAGCCCCTAGAGCCCAGCAGCAGCCTCCAACGTGACCCCCCCCGGCAGGGGGGACACGACCCTGCAGGCCGGACAATGACCAGCCTCTCCTTTGAGGACACGTCCCTGGACAGCCTGGACCCTTCCTTGACTCTGCAGGAATCCAGCGAAATAGACACAGCCCTGCTGAGCGACATCGATGGTGGGTAGCGGCCGGGCACGGGGCAGCTGCCCCCCCCGGGGAGCAGGCGTGGGGAAGCGGGGCAGGGGACAGCTGGGTCCGGCTCAAGTCCTTGCTAAATGGCAGCTCGGCCACGGGTCTGCGGGCAGCGGGGGTGAATGTTCCTGATGTCCAGGCACTTGTGAACCCGCCTGGCTTAGGGGGGAAGGGCGCTGGGCTTTTTTCCAAGGCTCTTTACCCTTCAACATCAAGGGGGAGGAGGGGTTATTTGCTGCCCCCCCTCCGTGCTGCATCTGTCAGGGGCTCGGCCCCTTCCCATCCTCC